TGTGTGTGTGTGTGTGTGTGTGTGCGCAGAGGGATGAAGGTGACAGCAGGACAGGGTGAAGGTTCCCACTCTCTTTTCCTCTGGGTCCATTTAAGATAGTTTAACAATAATTTGGGGAAATTAACGTAAGGGGAAAAATACATCACGCCTGTCTGTAGATGAAGTGCACCCCCCCACACACACACACAAACCCATAGATATATATAGACACACAGACAGAAATCATGGATCTGGAAACCATAATAAGGTTTGCTATTACTCTAGGCAAACCTTTCCTCCAAAAGTTCCCTTCCTCCTCAATCTTCTTGTCGAAAAACCTGCCAACACAGCCTCGGCACACACACACGCATGTGCACACACGCGCATGCATACACACACATACACACACACAATTGGTCAGACTGTAGTGTCCTGTCTTTCTTCACATTGGAACCATTTGATAAATAACCCATGGTTTTCTGGGAAATGCCTCTGCAGAGGCCTCCTGGTGATGGCAGTGGAGAGTGCCTCCCGTGGGCTTGTGTTTGTGCCCGACACACACACACACACACACACTCAGATGCATTTTTACTTGCCTCTAGCAGGATTGCAACACTCTCTCTTTGGCTTCCTTTACCTCCTGAAGAGAATTGGTCCATTTTATGTTTCTGAACTGAAATATGTCACAATTCTCACCAAAGATCTGAGTGAAAAAAATCCCCTTTACACTTCTGGTACATCCAGCAGACCTACAGCACGTAGTCCCACTGATGAAGTGAAATATGTTTATTAGCTGTTAAATCAATAAAATTCAATTTGATTCAGAGACTCCATTTCAACTATATCTCTGAGGCTTTACCTAGTGGTGATCTTTGAGTATTTATATATTTGTCCTGTATCTACTGTATGTCAACCACACAAAAACTTGGGCTGCATTTCCCTGCATCATATGGTTTCCATAAAATGTATATGTCATTGCTGGTTGTATTTTGTATTTTGAAGCAAAGTAAAAAATATAATTACTAAACAAATAGCAGCAGTTGTTGCCAACTTGTGACCCACAAGATATAGTGATTAACAAGTTAAACAAGATAATGTGAGTAGGGGAAAAATGTAGTTGTTGCAATAAGTCAGTTTATTTTCAGACAATTCTCCTGTCTTTGTCATGTTCCTCAGAAGTGCTGCATAGTTTATTTCTTTTGGCTCATAAAACCTGCCCAGATGGTAAAATGACTCTTTGTTCATAGTTCATAGAAACATATAACCTTTGATAAGAGCTTTCAAGCTACCTTTACTTTTGTTGAAATAATCATGAATCTAAAGGGGTTGGGAACAACCTGCATAGAGACAGATTATGCCATACAGTCCATAGGGTTGATTTAAAAGTGTTGAAGCTGTTGTGGACGTAGTCAAAAAAGTGTAGACAGTATCAGACCTTTGGTAAACCATCAGAGTAAAGTGGCAATTGTGAAAATCAGTATGTGTCTTGAAAGCATAAGATGTAGAATGGAAGTAGATTAAATACCATAATATAAATAAAAGAGTTTGATCTGATCTTAAAATTCGGTTTTAATACAGAAGAAAGGATATAAAATAAAAACATCACATTTCCTGTAATATCAATTTCCTGAAATCCCTCACTGTGTCTCAGTTCAGAGAGGAATAAGCAGATTTACGAATTAAAATGGCCTCTCTCGTGTTATACAGAACACGATGACTGTCACTGCCGCTCTCTGGGAAAGAAATCAGACAGTCATGCACACAGCAGCATCTCCATGGGCCTTGTTAGGCAGCGAGTTAGTGCCAGACTGCAGAGAGAGAGGAAGCAGAGAGATCAGTGTACACATGAACAATCAGGGGAAACCAAAGGACAAAGCAAGCATGCAAAGATAAAGTATAAAAAGAAAACAAGTTAATGAGCAGAGAGAAGATTTGGCATGTTGATGGACCAATGTAGTGTTTTCTTTAGTTTTTTCCTTTTTAAATTCTGAATCATTCACTATTTAAATGAAGTTTTTTGAATGTTCAACACACAAGCACATGTGCTACCGCCAGAGGAGATTGGCTTCCATTCTTGTTGGAATTATGATAATGAAGTGATGGAAATGAATGAGTGTGTGTGTGTGGGGTGCACATCAAGCAGAAAGAACTGATTTCACTCTCCAGATCTATATCTTTCTTGTCAGAGCTGCACGTTGGGGGAATATCTGCTCCATTATTTTTTTCGGAGAACATGAAAACTCATAATTAAATACAACAGTTCGTAGTTCTTATAAACTTCCTGTTACCGTCCTCTTTTGCAGAATTTAACATTTATTCTATTAGTCATGAGTCAAACCAGTGATGTACATCAAATCAAGACCAATTGGGTTTTCCCAACAATTAAACACGATCTGTTACATTTGATTAGAGAGGACTTCGTGCTCTGGCAGTCTTTTAATAGCACATTTAACGTCTCACTTTGCAGACGTTGCGTCGCAAACTGTAAATAATGAAAGTTCTACTCATGTAATGGAGGTATTGTTGTGAGAAAATGTAACTAACGCAGTGGCCACTCATGTTCTGTTCTCTTGGCCTGTGTTGATGCTCTGGAGCTTCTTCAGATTTATTCCTTGTCATCAGTGAGTCCTCCTCAAACAGCTTTACGATATACTGTCACTTTTTTATTGTTTGTGTGCTGGAGGTTGTTGGCAGAGCTTTTTTATAAACATTGTATGATGCACAGTGAAGGTAGAAAGCGTTGTGTTCATCCTACTTTGTTTATCTACAATGAAGATTTTACAGTCAATGTTTTCATACAATGGAACGTATGTGTAGTTTGTATAGAAGTTTGAATGATTTACTGACCTGCTCTTATTTTGTCATACAGTATATTGAATGCCAGCTATTTCAGAGGTCTGTCAAGCAACCAACACAATCTACAGACCCAAGTTCACAACTTAAAAAAGTAAAAACTCTGTAATTCAGCTCGATATTGAGTATTGAAGCAACAAAACATATGTGTTTTAATATTATATATATATAATATAAGATAAATTGCTAAAGTGATACTATGAATGTTGTTTTCTTGATTGAGATCAGCACCCACGACACCCAAGTATGTCTGTGTCAGTCTGATATGGTAAAATAAAAATAATGAAATTATTCAAATGTTCTGGCGGCGATTTTTACCCACGGTTTGATGTAGTTAAGTCCACTGCTGCAGTTTATCTGAGGACATAGAAGTAGACATGTTCAACTCAGTGAACAGACTGCAGGCATACTGCCCTACCCCCGTGTTTATTCACATTTTATTCATGCTAACCCTATAATGTTAGCATTAATAACCCTATAACCGCTGTGCCACCTCTGGCCATTACCAATACACATGCCAAGTTTGAAGCATATAAATGAACGGTTCATGAGAGATGTTTCACAAACAGACAGACGTTTGTGGAATTAGTAGGTGGATTACAGCCTGAACTATGTAAACCAAGTGTGCTACTTCTGCAGTCTTTGTATCTGCCCTCCAGGCTCCTGTTTCAGTTTTGTGTTGGATCTCAGAAACTCCTAAATACTTTCTTGGCGTGTTGTTACAGTATAAAGCCATCGTCTACATTTTCTTGCACTTTTATCATCCTCACATAAATTCAGTACCTACAGAGAGCGCTTGTGAAACATGCCCAAACTCTGTAAGTGCATTCTTCCCTCCTCATTACAAGGTGTTGTTGAGCTCAGGTTGTCTTTCTCCGTCTTTCTGTCCCTCAATCAATTGATTGAACACAGTTTGTCAGTCAGAAGAGGAGAAGAAGAGAATTTTGTTTGGTTTTCCAAGCTGTGTGATTTTTTTTCACAAGCTTAGAGACTTAGGTTAGACAAAGAGTCCTGTTTCTGTTTTTGTGCAGAGATTTGACTTATTCAGTTTATTAGGATTTTGTTCAGCCCTAAAACGCTGCAAGAGAGCTGTTACTGAATCATGTTGCCTTTTGTTCAACTGTTATCACAACAATTGCTCCAATGTTACCAGGGTTCAAACCTTGTAGTTTAAATAGGGATTTAACATACATAAAATTCACTCTTTCTCAACTGCTACACTGCTCCTATTTTCAGTCAATTAGACTTTTTGTACAATAAGCTTGTTGGTATAATCTTGCCTGCATGGATCACATCCCCAGATATTATGATGTTATCATCTCTCTGTCCTCTGTGTCGTCTCCTCTCTCCAGGCTCATGCTCACAGCTCGTTGGTCTACCTCGTGTCCCTCCTGGGCAGCATGGAGCACAGCTTCCACCACACCCTGCTGCTGGAGATCAGAGCTCTGACTGACCGTTACCCCTCTTTACTGGGAGGCTGCGGGAAAGACATCTACAGGATGAGCAACTCCTTCACGGCTATAGCCAGGCTGTTGGGGAGGCGGCTGGAGGAGGCTGTGGCGATACGTTGCAGGTTGGGAAAGTAAAGCACATTTAATCCACCCCCTTCCAATGGCTCACCACAGGAGTCCATTGAATGGTGTTGTCCTAAACCTGAAGCTGACAGTCGCACGACACCGAGAAAGTTACACAAATGAGCTCAGGTTTAGTTCAAACTCTGATTTGGCATCGTCCACATTCATCTGGGATTGGCTCCAGCTCCCCCCCACGACCCTCAAATGATAATCAGTCTAGATAATGAAGGTATAATTTCCCTGTGGGCACTTACAATTTCTAAATTGGTGCCTGTTTGTTTCCATTTAGAACAAATAACTTGAATTTGTACAAACACTGCAACTCACTACAGCATTTTTATGGTTCTTGTGTTTTTGCTCAACATAGACAAAGCACATGCGACATTTCAACTAAGATTGAACCTCGAAACACATTTGTCTAAAAAGTGACTGATTTATATTCATATCACTGCGAGAAGTCAAACGTTTGTTAACTTGTTTGAAATTGTTTCCAAGACAATGCGCACATTAAACCCACACATTTAACTGATCTGTGATACTAAACCCTACAACAAAGTGTGGCTTATTTTTACTAATAGACATATAATCTGCTGCTTCATATCTGATTCTGTCCTCAACTGACTTCTACCATATACGTCACAATAAATGGAAGTGTGTGCTCACAGTTTGCATGAGCAACATCTGGGGACGACACATGCATATGTTTGAGCTTGTGTGCGTTTGTGTTCATGTGTTTGCGTGTTCATGTGCATAAGTTGACTGGGATTCATTTGGCTGAACTGTGGGAATGACACGCAACAGCTTTTCCCCGAAACAAGAACATTGTGTGCAGGATGGGAGGCTTCCAGAGGGCTTTGCTTGGGGTCCTCTGGAAGAAAGATCGAAGGAATGAGGGATTGAGAGAGGCAGGATGGTTTATTAGTGAAAGAGCGGGGGGTGAGGACAGAAGAGAAGCAACAACGGGACAAGTCCTCTGTTTGCAAACAAGTGGGATGTATGATGGAGTTATAGAGGCTGCTTGTGAGAGGGACAGAAACATAGAGAGAGAGAAAGAGGGAGGGAATCATTAAGTTAGAGAGCAAATGAGAGGGACAAAGAAAAACAAAGCTGGAAAGAGAGGGGAAAAGGTGAGATGCAGCCAGCACGAGAGGGAGAAAGGGGGCAACAGCGAGTGAGAGATACAGAAATAAAGCCTGTTGTCGTGAGAAAGAGATCATAATAGGATCAAATGGGAGAGTGAGGATGCTGAAATCCATCTAAACGTGTCTGTCTGGCTCCATCTCACATGCCCACCAACTCTTTGTGTTTGTGTTTCGTGCGTTACAGGGTGGACGAAGCGTGTCCGCCATCTCCCTGTGCATCTCTTCCAGGGGGTGGAGGAGGTGGGGTAGGAAGGGGGTCGGAACAGCAGCTTCAGGTGAAGATCCAGGCCTTCGAGGAGAAGATGGGGGAAGATAGAGCAGAGGAGGAGGTGGAGGAGGACTCCCCTGCCTCCCTGCGACGCTACAGCCTGAGCCAAGCTGTCAGGGAGGAGAGACGAGAGATGAGATTCAACAGGTCGGTTGGTTTGTGTCAATACACGGCCCTGCTGAGAACTGCTTAAAAGAAACATATCTTGCTTTTTCAGCTTTCCTCTTTCTCTAGTGTGTTACAAAGGTTTCCTCTGTGTGTAAAAGCCTGTAAAGTAAAAAAAAAGTCCCAAAACTCATACAGAACGCTCCGAAACTCCTCATCAATAGTCAGCTGATATTTCTACATGATAATGGTGTCATATGACGTCACCATACAATGCACACATGTAGGGAAGTCTGGCACGCCCCCTAACGAAGCCAGGTAAAGAAAGATCAGAGGCCGACATTTTCCAAAGGTGCTGGAAGCGCTTCACAACAGAGTGGACCAGCTGTCCAATTCAGGCAGAGATAGAACACGTAAAACTTTTCAAGCAATAACCCAAATCAAAATTATGAACCTTAATATCAACATCATTTTCATATGCACAGAACAAGTGAGAAGCTCAATATTCTTGGAAATATTCACATTTTTGTTGTCACAGTTTAGTGAGTGAGCAAAGAAACTGTTGTTAATATGATAATGAAGGTAACGGTTTTGTGTGTTATCCTTTTAACAAGGTTCTAACAGATTTACCTGGTGCTTACATCCAGATCAGATTAACTGTGTGGGAACTGTGGCCTGTAACTGATAAAATCACTTCTGAAATACTCTAAAGAAACTTAAACCTGAAATTGAAATCCATAACTTTGACTGTATAGTCAAATATAATGTAGGTTGTATATAGACTGAGAGCACTGGTTCCCTTTTCTCAGCTTCTATTATTAGTTTTGTTTGCATATGTTTATTGGAGGTAGCTACAGTAACTTCCTTCCAAGACTTGGAAGACTGGAGTGAACAAACCTTTCTGTGTATTTTACAACATTAACAGTATGGACAAAGCTGTACGGGTAAAGACAGCAGTGATTTTCACGTCACAAAAGTAAATTTTTTCTTTTGAATGTTGTGATGTTTTCTTCATCATAACAAAGTCACTGTCAATAAAATCTATTCATAGATTTTTGCTTAAGTGGTTTCTCCACAGAACCCTGGAACCAAAGCGATTTACACCTCATGGTGTCAAAACACACAAATCTCAGTGTTGGTGAAGGCAGACAGACTTTGAGTTGTTTAGATCTTCAACGCTGTGGGATTAATCCACTGTCTCATTTCTCTTTCAGGTCAAAGAGCTTGGCCCTCCATGCTGTGCACTCACGCTCCATCAACTCAGACGCTGGGGTGGACGGTGATGGAGTGGAGCTAAGTCCGAACAGCATCTCCCCTGATACTTTGACTAATCAGCAAACACAAAGCCAGGAGGTGCCACCTACAGACAGGAAGCGGACCGCTGAAGGCTCCGTGCCCATCACCAGTGCAGTGAAGAGAGGGGTCAAAGAGGCAGGGAGAGGTGAAGGCAGAGCGGAGGATGGAGAGATGGAGGAGCAGGGTGAAGCTGACAGACTCTTCGTCCATTTAAGAGACAACATGGAGACAATCAAAGCGTTCTGTAAGGACGTGGTGCAGCAGATCCCAACACCAGAGCAGTGTGTGATAGAAGGTAATGACCACGGCAAGGATTTATTTTAGAGTAGTAGTTTAAGTTGAAATTTACATGTGCAGTGTAAATGTGTGTGATCTCCTTATATCCCTGTATACTTCACTACACAATAATATTTTTGTGGTGCTCCCATTCTACCTTTTCACCTGCTAGTGAAGAAGATCATATGAATGTCAAAGTATCTGAGGAGACATATTGTATGTCAAGCAGTCTTGTTGTAATCATAGTCCACGATCAGCTGCCACCACGATCAGGATACATCATCATGATCCATCATCATGATCCACTGCCGCCATCAGGATCATCCTTCCCATTTCAGTGAATGCGATAGCTCAAGATTGCCTTGAGTGAACTTCTCCAGATACAAATATTCACTTGGATGATCTGATTAGATTCTTCTGGTGGTCAAAGGTCAAAGGTCACAGTGACCTCATGTTACTGTGAATGTGATAGTAGGATTGTCCATAGGGAATTTCATCACATCTGGTACAATTCACTTGGACTCATTGATTAACTGATTCGGTTTGGTTGTCAAACGACAAGGTCAAGATGGCCTCAGAAAACATGTTTGTGGCCTGTTGTTAAGACTGCTTGAGGAAGTGTCTTCAACTTTTGATCAGTTGTCACATGGATTCAAAGATAAAGTGATTATGTTTCAGTGTTCAAAGGTCAAAGGTCACAGTGACTGTCGAAAAAAGTATGTAGAAATACAATACAATACAAGCGCAGTGCAGCAGTTCTAGTTTTATTTTAATCTCACCAAGACTGTTAGTTGGAGCTATAGGTGGAATCTTTAATGATTTTTTCATCATAGCATCTAAACATCTAAACATCTGCACAGTGCAGTTTTTCAGGATGAATGGCTCAGATTAGCTTTAGAAGTGTACAGCCTCCACCCTCTGTGGTCATCTAACTGTCCATCCGAAAGTAAAAACCCTGGTTAGCAGTATCTAATCATTTTAAAATGTGTTCCATTAAATTCATTTTTAAATATTTACCATTCAGTTGAGAATGATCCTTAATTTTTTATTTGTTCTGTTTCGAATAAGGTAATTAGTGAAGTAAAAATGTAATACTACACGAGGTACAGTGTTTAGCAAATCTTTCTCAAACAGGAAAGTCTTTTTGGGATCAGCTCAAAATAAACAACAGGGCTCATGTTTGTTGTACTGAGTGACACGTTCCTTCATTCCAATAGTGTGACTCACTTATGTGTTTTTAATAGTTCATTCATAAGTTGTTGGAGCTCTATGAGCACACATCACTTCATCAGACTTTATGTCCATCAGTTCATTGGTTTAGACTTGTGGGATATAATTGAGCTGCAGACCCGGTTAACTTACTTGTTAACGTGGAGTGAGAGAATGTGCTATAATGTGAAGTGTGTGAGTCAAACCCTATGGGGCATGAAGCTCATTTGTTAATGGAAAAATTAATCAAGGTTTAGAGGCATTTAATTGTTTTGAGGTGGGCAGGGTTGTTGGATGCAGTTACATTGATACAACACAGCCAGGTCCAAAGTAGAAACAGATGAACATTATGTACACACTTGTATATGGGTGCAGTTTTGTCAGCACTCACACTCTCATAGCAGTGAACACAGACTGGAGACGAAAGGTCAGGCAGTTTATTTGAACTATGAAACAAAAACCTCTTGCGTCTCTTAACTAATCTAATCCATTTTCTAAAACACTGTAATACACTTTCACATTACCCCCTCTCCTTCTCCTCATATTAAGGGATTTGATATTTTATTTTCTTTCAGGTGGAATGATTTTTGCTTATTTGCAGTTTCTCAATTTGATTTGCTTCATTTCAGTTAAAACGTTAACATATTTAGCAACGCCTGTCAGCACATTAAATATATACACATATATATATATAAAACCATATTGAACAACTCCATCCAGCCACTCCGAAACCCCCCTTAAAATTATTTTATGTTCTTAATATGCAGTATATGAAACAGACATTGTTGAGGCTCTGAAACCAGTGGGGGTTGTAACAAAGTACATGTACTGTGTTGCTGTACCTAAGTCAACTTTTCATATATTTGTTCTTTAGCTAAGTAGATTCATTTTGGGTACTTTTCACTCCTTCTCCACTACATATATCAGCAAATATCTGTACTTTCTACTCCACTACATTTTTACAATGTATTGCATTCACATAGTTTTGTATAAGTAATCAAATAAGAAATGAGACTTGACCAGAGCGCAGGTACACAGACCTGAAATGGATTCAGAGGAGGCCACCACTGAGACTCAGCCATAATGACTGTTGCATTAATAGGGAATAGACTACACTTGGCAAGTATATATTTTAGCTCAATAGAAAAATTTTGTTCATTTTTGTCTATTCATTTGTACTTTTAAGTGAACATGTACTTCCACCACCCCTGTCTGTAGCAAGAGTTCTAACTTGGACCTCACACACTAAAGTGTATGTGCACAATTGGTGCCTCTTAATGAGAATCAACCCCAAGACGTACAGGATAATAGGATGTCACATGCGGGCTCTACTAGATGATGTCATCACACCGCTGGCTGACTTAGACATGAGCTGCTGACCCTTCTTCTTCTCAGGGTACGAGGATTACACAGAAGAGTGCACATGCACATATTTACTCAACCTTGTGCTAATGAGTGAAACAGTGTAAACAAGCGCATATTGTAGCTCATACGTGTGTGCAGATGTTTGAGTTTATCCCAAAGATCTGACAGTGTTGAGTAATGGATGTGTCATAATACTGTATGTTCCATCTTTCATGTTAACTTTGTTATGGATCTCAGATGAGGAGGAACAGATCAGTATATCATACACAGTATTATATCACTCACCCTGTCGAGGGATTAAGTGTTATGAAACGAGATGTTTCCTTTGACATGTGAGACTAATTTTGTAGAATAACAAATGAAGGTTGAGACTGGCTGTAAATTGCTGTGATCTGAAGCAAAGATTGTTTCACTTTTTCATTAAAACCTGTAACAGATAGAATGTTTACAGTGAACTGAGCTGACGATGATTCCAGTTTTAAAAAGGAAAAGCTTGTTTCCTGTAACCAGTTTGGGAAATCCCCTCAGGGAGAAGACTGAGAGCATGTATCCCTCTGGTAAATAAACAGCTATTGCAAGTAGCCAGTTTGCTTGGCTTTGCAAAAAAACAATGGTAACAGGAGGAAACAGCTTGCCTGGCTCAACTGGGGTTGGATATTGGACATTGCCAACCTTCTGAGATTTGAGTCACATCAATCCTCTTGTTCAGACTTCAGCCAGAAAGTGAGAAGATGTTTTTTTGATGGTTACAAGAGGCATTGCCCTTGCATGAATCACACTGTAAACATGATCCCAATGTTACACAAGTCCATATGTGCAAGAGATACAAAGACACATTGCAAAGAGAGAAAGAGCTAAGACAGAGCTCGAGCCTCACGTTTCAGCTTTGCAACTTTAGCTTGAGAAAATGAATCATCTCATCATTTTCACGTGTGTTTTTGTGTGACAGATTCGAATCGAGGCTGTGTGGCCAAGCTGTCGTTCTCCTGTCCTCTGAAGGGCCACTACTGCCTGTACGCCAAGTCCTGTTTCAACCTGACCAGCCGACAACCGCATCTCTGGATCCACATGATGCTGCTGCATCTACAGGTGCTTCCACATATTCAGCTTGTAAAAGCAGAAGTGGAGGTGTCTGAGCAGAGCACAACAGAGAGACACCGACAGACAGAGAGCTGCCACCAGTGTCTGTGCATGAGAGAAGCCAGTTGGATTTATGTTTGACTTTTTACTTTTATGTTTGTTGCATTGATTTCTGTTAATAAATCAGTAATAACTGTGAGTGCTTGTTGTCTGGCTGGGGTTGGGAGACCCACAGTGGCAGGAGTCTTTGCCGTAGTGGGTCTCCCATCTCTGTCTCTGTCACCCTGTGGCTCTCCCTCTCTGCTCAACCACCTCCACAGCATGTTACCTACTATTGTCAAGCTTTTCTTGCCAACACATGTTCTATACTTTCTATCATACTCCTGTTTGGATAACTATAACTATCTAAAAGTAGATAAAAGATCCTTGTCATTGCGATTTGCTGGTAAAACTGTGAAAATCTTAAAAAACTATTTTTGTTTCCACATCAAAATTTAAGAGGGGTTCTTCCCTGACACGTGGTAACCCATTCAGTTGGTTTTTAGTGATCCTCTTTCAAACAAAATAACCAATAAACTAAGGTGCAGGGGTGAAAATGTTGTATAGTACTATAGTACTATACAAGAGAGATGAGTAGTTACGGTTTTATCGTAAAACTATAACCTTGAAATCTGTTATTGTCATATGCGAAAGTATTTTACAGTTGATGAGTGTCATTTGTTGTATGTAAAACCAGACAGGCTTTGTTTGCCAACCTTCTTTCTCCGTCTTCCCCTCCTACACTGTCCCCATTATATTTATTGTATTATCGTGGTAATTGTTTTCTTTTCCCCTGTCCACCAGACTAAGTCCAGTGTCCCTCTGTGCTCCAGGGACGAGTGCGTCAAGAGACTGGCTTCCCTTTGGGAGAAGACACAGTTGAAGGGGGCTCACAGTTTTCCCATGGCTATGACACAGCACAGCACGCTGCACAGGAAGGTACTGGACCACAGTGTGTGTGTGTGTGTGTGTGTGTGTGTGTGTAGAAGTTATCTGTCTCCAGCAGAGGGGATGAAGTCATAGTGCTGAAAAAAAGAAAAAAAACTCCAACATTCACTTTGTATAATTATAAAAAACTCTTGTATACAAGGCCTCCGTTCACCCTGACGCCTCATCTTTATCATGTCTGTGTGTGGTATGAAGGTGTGGTTATACAATGACACACGTGCATATTGCAGTGTGTTTTTGTAAGTGTGTGAATGTGGGTGGTGTTTCACATGCTGCCCCTTCACAATGTGACAAGCTAAGTGGCTGCTAGGAAGTAATTAGACCTGCAAAGATAATACAGCTGTCGTTTGTCTTTCTCTAAAAAAGATGTATAGTAGCTCCATTGATCTATGGTTACCATCTGGGGCCTCAACATAGAAACACACACATTCAGGCTCTTTCCCATAGAAACAAAAACATATATACATCTTACGTAGATGATAATGATTCCACTTATGCAGTATATGTAGATGTGTATGGTTTATATCGCTCTCCCAAATGGAAAAGTGAACCATGTGAGAAGACACATGCTGTGTAATGTTTAATGGTTCAAACATTATCGTAAACATCTGTTTACGAGAAAGTCATCAGTAAGGTTCAGTTACTGCTATTGTTAGCTGGGTCTCCTCTGTGTCTTAGAAACTTTCAGTCAGAATATTAGAACTTAAAAGGTCTATGATATGTTCAAATATTACGTCCAAGGTCCTAAATACACTTAAGTCTTAATATGTTAACTTTCATTTAATGATACTTCCATCAGACTTTGTTTTGTTGTTGTTGTTTTTCAAGACGAATATTTATTTCATGATTATATACTTATCATTAAAACTATAAAGTTTACAAAGACCCTGGTCAGGATTTATCTCAGCACCCCTGGCTTGGCCTTAACAAAGACTCTGGATATCTACTGTCTGCCTGTAGTTAGAGAGATAACGTGGCGCTTCAAGGGTTATCCTCCACTAAGCTACTTTACCTTATCTTCATATAGTCATATCTAATTTCACTCATTGTGATATTTTAAATGGTCATTTAAACCTGTTGAAACCATAGACTGTAAATAAAGTTGGATGACATGACTGCTCCCTAAAAGTCAAGCCAAAGGGTCTCAAATGTAAAATGGTGGCTGGCGGCAGTATTGGTCATAAATCTCACTTACACGTCAAAGTTTTAACCTGCAGAAAACCTGTTTCTTAGATTTACCACATTTTTCTTTATTTGCTTGAAATGGATTTGAGTTTTTATGTCTGTTAAATATCAAGCTACTGACTCAGTTGATATATTGAGTTCATCAGATACTTTATAGTCATCCAATACCAGTGTTTTCTTTTTCCAAAACATGTTGGCCTTAGCATGTGGGTGTTGTGAAGCTGTGAATACTTATGAGTCAAAACACAATCATATTTTTGAAATATTGGTTTGTTCCAGTAAAACAGTTTCTGGCTGATGCAATAATCAATCATTCTTCTACTGTGTTATTATACGCTGCTACATTTTATTTTTAAAACACAACTGATCGTGCTCAACTGTGGGAGTAAAACTCTAGCAGTGTTAAGTGTTTACACATAAAAACTTAAAAGATGTGCAGGCCCATGTGTTATGTTTACAGCCACTGAAGAGGAATAAATCTTATTTATGTACAATGAAGTCATGCTACCAACAGCTCTGTGTGTGAAGCACAAACTGGGGCAAAAACACACACATTGAATTCACTTGAGGAGAAAAGCCCAATTAATAACACAACCCATTACAACAACAAACCTAATTAAGATCTGATGTCTTAATTGGGTTTGTTCAGACAGGAAGGATTTTGAGCAATCTCATCAATTCAGGAAAGAGAGAATTCAGGTTTTAAAGATAAAAGGAAGAACCCATACCATTTTCTTTGCAAGTCTGTATGAGGGGTCGGATCCAGCAATTTGATTTTACTTTCTTCTACTTGCTTCTCTGAGTGCATTACTTTCTTATTCAAGTGAATGAAAGATGCTTTCAGAATAACACAAACTATTTTTTTTTCTCAGCTGTTCTCCATCAGATTTAGTTAATAAATTATATTTCATACATTTAAAGTAAAACAAATGAGGCAGAGGACTTAAATGAGAAATGTATGTGTAGGTGTTTGAAAATATACATAAAACCCAATGGGGTAAAATAATGGTACAGTTAGCTCACTATAAAAAATAATTGTCAATAAAGGTTTCACATTAAAGGCTACTGTCTGTACATTTTGGGAGCAACAGACAGGAAGTGGTGAGGTTTTAAAACTTGCTTTACTCTGCTTTGTTTTACCAGAGCAGAACATAAAGACTAAAGGATCAGTGATATATAACCGGTTGTCTTAATGAAGTCCGTTTTGGGACCAATACTGATCCATTAAACCTGCCAACAGACTAACAGAAGGACTTTAATCGTCCCTTTTTCCTTAAAAAAAATAAGAACAGAACACAGAGGATGAGATTTAACAGGAGCAAGGGAAGGAGAAGGTCACAACCTTTCCCTCCATCCATATGCACCGCATTTCCTTTCTGCTTTCTTTCTCTATCCCCACATCAGACCTCCAGCTTCACTCCTGTCACCGTCAGCCAATCGGAAACACATGTAGTGGAAGGTGAGGAGAGAAGAGATGCGAAAGGCTATAACATGTATGAGTCTGAAAAGGTTACCAATTATATCTGTACTGACAGGGAGATTTAAAGGGAGAGTAAAGGGTTTTATGAGGCTTCAGAAGTTTAAGAGCGATTTATATTTGGTCTCTGAGAGGTCTGTTTAGTAGTTTTATGACACAGAGATAATAGAAAGCTGGTGTGAGGGGAGATAAGAGGGATGAGGGAGGCTAAGACTGCATGACAGAGATGGAAGGAAGGAGGGAAGAGATAGATGTGAGATACTGAGGATAAAAAGGTTGATAGAGATACAGTGTCAATAAAAAAGTAATAGGTTTCAGGGATAATAAAAAAGAACTCTGTCGGGGTTAAGAGATAAAGACAAAGAGCTGTGGAGCTGAATCATCATCATGTTTTTATCACAGTAAGAAGGAGATTATGGGTAAAATGGGCAAGTTTGGAAACAAAAACATGCAGATATTGAGTGATAAAGACTCAGCATGAAGCTAGAATAGCACTCAATAGAGCGCATACCTCTGCCAAGGCCCAACAGTCCCCTTAAATCCAATGAAGCTGCATCGAATTTCACACACTTACAGAAATCAGTCTTCCAAACATACCTGTTTTATAGAGTCATGCTTTTTTCCCTGGGAAATTGGTGAAAACGTCAAAGCACTCCCTGTGCACTTTAAAGAAAAAAAAATTGGATCCAGATCTGCACAAGTTCTTCCCTTACACATCTCTCTTCCTTTCACCAAATTTCGTGGTCACCCGTCCAGTAGTTAGTATGTAATCCTGCTAAATAATGGACAAACAAACAAGACAACAAAAAGGAAGAGAAAAGTCTCGACCCTCACGCTGAACCCACACTTTGGAGGTGTTAAATGAAACGCAACTCATTCACTTTGAATGTGGTGACCTCATGCGTTGTCAAACTGCATTGCGTCTCCGTTACGTCACATATGGTTAAAGTTGAGCAGAACTCAACTTTTTATGCTGCAACAGAAGCACCAGCCAATCAAATCATATTTACACAAACACTGAAGAACTGACGCTAGCCGATTAAATCATGTAAATGAAGAAGAAAACAGAAGCAGCTGGTTTTGGATTTTATTTTCAATGTACCCCACTAGCATTGTACTCATACTCATGGCTAGCAGGGAACATTAGCATGAAAGTTGGCTCTGTAGTGTGTCCCGAGCATGAAACTTAGGTTTTTACCTCTGTGAAGGAGGTCATGTTTTCACCTGGGTTTGTTTGTGAGTTAGTGAACAGGATTATGCAAAGAGCATCATGTGGATTACCAGGAAACTTGGTGGAAGGATTTGGTATGGGTCGAGAAAGAACCCATTAAAGTTTTGTGCGGGTCCAGGATTTTTCTTTTCAGTTTGTTTAACAATGGGAGATTTTTCAACATTTTGGTGATTGAGGGTGCACAATTTGTTACAGATCCAAATAAAAACATGGAGCTAGTGATTTTATAAGGGACTGTTGGTTCTTGGCGGAAGTATGTGATCTCTAAGTGCCCTGATAGTTGTCATTAAGATGATCGCAGCAGCACCAAGAATAAGACACATCCAGCATCAAGTGTTTACACAACACACAACCTGGTGCAATGAGAAATACAAGAGGATAGTCAGATTTCTTCAATTTCACAATCTTCCTTTGAAGATTGTGTAATTGCGGAATAAAATGAACGAACATAAACTTTGGAGTAACTGAGAAAAGAGGATGTAGGGCGAGAGAGGAGGAAGTGAAAAAGGAAAAGAAGGAAGACGTGGTGTAAGATATGATGGGAGACTGAACTAAAGTGGAAGCCTGAGACGGAGGAGATACTTCACAAGCATTGTTTTACCTTTTTTTCCTCCTTTTGCCTCAAGTGACCGCATTTGTTGATACAACTGTGGTGGAGATAAAGTTTGGTGGAGGAAGAGGAGAACAGAGAAAGGCTGAAAACCAAGAGAATCAAGCTGAGGCCGAGATTAGATAAAACCTTTTCGGAGGAGGAAGCAGGAAAAAGTGATAAAAAGAATTAACAAATCTTCACTTATGCAGATTTTTATCCATCTTCATCCATCTCATCTCCACCCCCCTTTCACATACTCCCACTTCTCATCCACTCACCTTTCTCCTGGTTGACCCTCCCCCCTGTCTCTCATCCTGCCTCCACCTCCTGCTGTCTTTCTCCCCCTGTCTGCTCTGCCCTCCTCCTCCTCCTCCTCCTCCTCCTCCTCCTCCCAGCTGTGAGCAGCTCTTGCATCTTGATCAAATTATAATTATGATCTAAAAACAGTGATAGAGTGAGTTGTAGTGAGAGAACGTGGGGGGTGTAGTGAAAGGGAAGAGGGGGTTACGTGAGGATAGACGGATTATTTTCAGACTCACATAGTCCGTCCTTTGTTTCTTTGTGTGTTTGCTGAATCCACATCTCTGGTCCTGATAAATCTAATATGGGCTTGTGTTTGTCCACATTAGCTTGTTGCCCGGCTGCAAATTTGTCGCTCTAAACACAACCTCTTTTCAAACCATACACAGTTTATTCAAACCATACACAAGTCATTCACCCTGTGCATTATGGGCTGTCAGCTATACAGTGTGGTGAGCCTGGCACCACACAGACTGTGGCTTCAGGATTTCTGGTAAAGGACCCCTGAAACAAATGAGTGTTATCTTTCTCATTTTTCCTTCCTCAGATTTGGGTGCTGCATTCCCACATTGTTGCTTAACATCTCACTAAACTAACAGCTATTGTCTTTCTGCTCCTGACTTATTTTCCTTATTGATTTCTAGGGAATAACTTTGGCATGAATTGAATTGGCTGATTTTTATTGTCTCTAAGTCAAAACTCATTTGGATGAAGATCATTGTTCAGTACAAAATTATTCAGTGGGGAAATTTGGGGAGTTTTTCCACTTAGTCATCCTCCAGTGACAAGATTGATAGTTTTTCCAGGCACAATTTGAGTCATTCAGTTTTTTAGCATTTTTACCTTATTCAGATTATTCAAATCCATATAGTTAAAAGAACCAGTTAAATAATACAATCCTACAGCATCACAAGTAAAAATTATATAAATATATTCATAAATACATATTATCGGAAAATATCAGAGTTGACTGATAAATCACAGTCAACTCTGATTGGACAGCAGTGGGGATTTGGTCAACTACTTCCAGCGCAAATATGAAATTTCGGCCTCCTCTCTTGTTTTACCTGCCTTTGTGAGGGGCGCGCCAAACAAGCTGCTAGGCGTACATTAATCAAATGTGGTGCATTGTGATGTAACATGACATCATGATACCCCAGAAGTGTCAGCCTGACCATTGACGAGGTGTTTCAGAAGCGTCAGGAACAGTGTTTAAAGGTGCAGTGTGTAAGATTTATGTGACAGGGATCTATTGGCAGAAACTTAATGTAGAATAATCCTCATGATGTTTTCACTAGTTAGTTTCATCTAAATTATATGTATTGTAGTTTTCTTTACCCCAGAAAAGGCCCTTTATATTTAAATACTTTATATTTATGACAACTGAAGCTGCCACAGGTTCTTTTCATGTTTAGAGGGGGAGGGTGAGCTGAGGGGTATTCAGCTGCAACATTTCAACACTAGATATGACAAAATTCAACACACTGTACCTTTAACTATACATTACCTTTTACATATAGAAAAAAACACACTAACACACTTTAGGGAAGAAAATCTAAGCAGTCGAAGCAGCAGAAGCAGTGATATGATTCTATTTGCCTTTAGGTTCAGTTACACCAAAAAAAGTCAATTCCCAGAATGCAGCTTGACAGCAGATATTCAATATACCCCCTCTGTCTGATAAATGCCTTTTTACCCTCAAATTGATAGGAGCATTTCAATCCTTTATAGACTTTGGAAAGCTCCTCTCAGTGAAATGAAGACTAGAACCATGCTTAGTTAATCTGTGTGAATACATTACATGTATATATATATGTTTAAATTATAACTGTCACATAAATGTAGAGATGTAACAAGTACATTTCCATGTGAACTGTAGTGTCGGAGAAGTATAATTACAGTACTTGAGTAAATGTACCTCAATACTTTGTTGCCCCTCTCTGTCAAACCTTTTTCTGATCCATCTCCCCTCTACTTTCTCTTGTTGTCTTTTCGCAATCCATCTTCATTTTATCTCATATTGGCTGTATTTCCCAATAATCAAAAACAGGTTCTTGTCTCTCTTGCAACATGTGTCTTCTGAAAGTTTGTAAGTCCCTTGAATCATTTTATTAAAGTTCCTCCCCTGGTATTGATTAAATCCATAAAACCTGGACCTCAGAGTTATATATTTAGAAGTTTATTTGATTTCTCAATTTTTCATTGTATTCTTAAAATAGCTTGGATGTAAGTTAGTATTCAAATATCTATAAATATGCAAACTAACCCACCATAATACAGCTAATTCACTACACTGTCTCCTCTAAGACCAGTCATGATGCTACAGTGAAACAAAGGGTATCGGAGGTATGCTACAATGAAATGATATGAAAAGCCCCAGCCCGAAAGTTGACAGGATTGGTTCCTTAGGTATATTACAAAGGAAAACCTGTCTGACTGTTTTTGGTCATCGGTACACTACAGTTCCAAAGTGGAACTATTCAACCAATGTATTAATTAATCTTATTTTGTTAATGATATGTCTTGTATCATATAAAAACACCATATGGGCATGTTACAAAGGTTAGAAACTTGATCTTCATTGGAGGAGGTTGTTAATGTTCATGTAAACCCACAGATGGTCGTCAGCCACAGCCTCACATGGTCCTAATTTATTTGTATCCTCAGGCAGAGCTCATTCGCCTCAATTATTTAAGTTCTAACAACACAATCAGTCTTTCAATCAGTGTGTGTGTGTGTGCGTGCATGCATGCTGGAATTTGGGGTTTTCTCCAGGTTTCATTGGTCCAAATGGGAATACACACTTAAAAACCAGCTTTCACATTTACATCCTTGCTCATTACATCAAGGACGGGAAGGGAAACAGGTGAAAAGGTCAAACACACAAGTAGCTCAGCCGTTACAGCTACCTGTTTTTCTTACATTCATTTTTGATCCAGCTCCCTCAGGGCCTTTTCCTGTGAGTTTGACTTTGCAGTGAGAAATTCTTCTCATGTTCTTAAACGGATTATCAGAAAAAGGGAAAGGACTGTGGGGGGGGTCAGAGTTCAGAGAAATAATGAAGCAGATGTTAGTTTACAGGATATCTAAACTGTGAACCACATTATAGCAGCCACACAGAGGTATGTACTGTTGGTATTAGGAGAAGATATGGATAGAGAAGTGTAAGTAGATACATGCTGGACGTTCACAGGAATACAACTGCTTCTTGTCACGAAGACTATACAGTAATCCATCATCTCCTTAAATGTTTCAGTCTTTCTCCAAACCATAAACATGAGATGAAAATGTTTTATCTCAAGGGTTTAAGTGTCACAAGTGTGTTTGTGTGTATTTCATGTGAAGTAAAAAATCTGGCCATATGTAGGAGTTCCTAGGCGATTTCTATTGGGTAGCTGTGGGATTCCATTACTTTATTCTAACACACAGAGGCACAGTTGACGTTTTGTGTGTATTTGTGTGATTGTGTTGGTCAGGCTCACCAAATCTCTCCTGTAAATTCATATGGCTTTTATGTGTTTTATCTTATACTAACTATGATGAATGGAACAGGATTGGGGCTAATGCATCAGTCTCATCTGATAAAGGATAGAAGCTCTACGATAGTTTGTTGGGTGGCACGGTGGTACAGTGGTTAGCGCTGTCATCTTGGTTCAATTATACGCAGAGCTTGCATGTTCTCTCTGTGTCTGCATGGGTTTCCTGCAGGTTCCCCAGCTTCCTCCCACAGTCCAATGACATGCAGATAGGTTAGGTTAATTGGAGACTCTAAATTGAAAATAGATGTGAGTGGTTGTTTTTCTCTCTATGTTGACCCTGTGATACGCTAGCACCCTGTCAAGGTTGTTTCATCTGTATGTTACATGTCAGAAACACCACTTTGCACTTCTTTAAACCAGTTGACATGTTTTCTGTTGCATTATGTTGTGAGTGTGTGCACTGCACCCGAACTACAAAGCATAAATATGAATAAACAGCAGCCAGGAATGTGAGCAAAGCCACATTGGGCTGCAAGTTTTCTTTTTAACGTTGATTTCAGTGACATCACGTAGGCGTATGTGGCTTAAGTCAAACTTGTGTCATCGACTTCCTTTGCAGAGGACTAGCCTGTGCATCTGTGGTTGAGTTGCAGTGCCTGTTGTAGCTTAACAGCTTAGATCGTGAGTAACGGTCTCTGTGACACTTCCTGCAGGTGTTTGGTTCTGGCTTCTATCGTCTGCTCTCTGTTCTCTCTTACCGCACATCCTCTCTCCTCTTCTCACTCCTCTGGATGTGCGCCTTGATGATGAGCTTTTATCTGTTGTGGTTACATCTTCCCAGCCTGTGGGATGATGTTCGCTGCTTTCAGGTCTCATCTACAAACATCCTCGTAACAAAGAGCAGGCCTCCCTACAGCTCTGGAGCCCTAACCTTAACCCAGCGCAAGCACATTTGACGAGCAAATATACATGTTATATATGAGAGTGTGCACATGTGTGGGTTATATGATCAGGGTCTGTGTAGAATAAGTTCAGATCATGACATCCTCTCTAGGAATTTTATTACTGTCCTTTATTTAACCAGTAAAGTCCCTTTGAGATGCACAAGCTCAAGATGGACAGCAAGGAAGTAGAACAGTTTAAAACAGGCAGTGATAAATAACAGACACACACATTCTAAACAACGCAAACATAAAAAAAAACTATATAAATGATATTGGACAGATTTCATATTATATCATAGGAGATATTTCATCTGTTTTCTGTCTGTGCTCTTTTTATCGTCCTCAGGACCTGGACAGTCTTCAGATCCAGCTGGATGAGGTGCGATTCTTCGACCTGTTTGGATACAGTGAGGAGGAAGGAGGCTGGCTCTGCTTCATGTGTAACAACCCTGAGAAGGCCACAGGTACACACATACCATGATGGTTGAACAGAACCCTGTTTAGCGAACATGCATAAACAAGTTAGATTCATACAAACAGATGTTTGTGAAAAACAGGACAGCTCCACCTGCAGCTGTTATGGTTTGTATACATGAAAACAGAGACACAGGCACAAAGTAACTGTGTGAGGCGCAGAGGAGTCTGGGGTTCAGTGGAAGCAGATCTGAGTGTGACAGCATACAGGAGACACGCAGGTGAATAACAATAAATAACAAACGGCAAACAACAAATTCTTAGGATAACAACACAAAACCAACAACACAAAACCAAACACACAAATTAAGAGAGACAACTGAAGGTGTCGACCCTCTGACAGCAAACAAGCAACTGCATAAGGAAACCAAACCTCCTTTTAACCCTCCCAGCCTCAGCTGATTGCCACCAGCTGAGGGAGGACCCAGATGCATCCCATTGCTCCTGATGAGCTGAGGAACCTGTGACCTGGAGTCTGATCTCCATATGATCTCCGTGGCCATAACACACTTTCATACAAACAAAGTAACACAAAGCGCTTACGGAAGAAAAGCAAGAAAAACAATACACATGCATCCACCCACACAGAGCAAGACAAATTAAGAGGAGCTGAGGAAACGCTGTTGCAGTTCTCATTTCAAATGAGGAAACAATAAAAACAGGTTTAGAAAGACAAGACATAATGATGGAGATACACTTTTTAAATTCTAAACAAGATGTGAAAAGGACAAAGATAAAATAATAAAATACAAAAAGAAGAGTAAGTGAAACCAGAGATAAAAATTAGGGGTTTTATAGGTGAAAACAAAGTGAAATAAATAAATAAGTAAATCAAGTTTTGTCAAATACACACGTACAGCCCCAGGTCAAGTTTAATTTTAGCCAAGTACCTGGTTAAAATCAAGCACCAGTACCTCAAGATTTGTTTTCTTGACTTTGAATTTCAATTACCATGAAAACACACACACACACACACACACACACACACACACACACACACACACACACACACACACACCACAGTATATACAAACCAAATATCAATAAATTCAGGACTTAAAGGTAATAAAAGCCAGGATGTAGAAAGGAAACTCACCGTGAGATTAAGACAGGAAGAGAGGATGGAAGGAATGGAGGGAGGGGTGTTATTATCTTTTAAACTGAAGCCCTCCACCTTTAAAACCAAGTGCATCTTCAAATATTAACAACCATCTAATTACAGACTTTAAATAACAGACTGTGGATTTGCCTCTGTAGCCATTTGCCGCTTGTTTCTCTGGGGCCTGATGTAAAAAACTGCTGCAGAACTCCATGAGATGTTTTCACTCAAAATACCTTCAAGGCAAATAACCTTTTCCCAGAACAGTGCAGGGAAATGGGGCAATGAGCAAATCTCTACCAGGTTGTATGAGTATGAAGAGTCAGAGTAATCAGTCAGTTGCTGCCATCGTGACTCAGTTCTGATGAGTTTACTTTGGACCAGTGACCCTCTTTGATGAGCAGCCTGTCCTGATGAGGTCACATACGGAAACATGTCCAAATATTCAAATCGCTATTTTAGGTTTATAGTGTGTATGTGTGTGTGTGTAGTCCAGGTATTACTCATGTTGTTTACACAGTTACGTACATTATGAGGACTTGTCTTCCTTGACACCTCAACTCAATCTTCTATTGGGCAAACTCCAAATTATGTCATTGGTGCAAAATGGCAGCATTTGTCTCCAGGATGTATTTTTTTTTTATTTCTGGGAAGTGGGAGTAAATGAAGATCGGCCACATTCATACAGTCTTTCAAAGTTTCTTCCTCAGGCTTCTATTCATGTTTTATTTAAGCATCTCTCCTCTGGTGCTCATCTCTACTCCATTGTTGCTCCACTCTCCCGCCCACACAAATGACAAATTGTGTGTAGGTGAGTGATGAGACAGTGGATTAGTCTTTACTGTAAATCAGTGAGAGACAGTTCAGCCTTAAGGAGAACATACAGTAGAGAAACAGGCTTTAAATCTACTATATGTGCAACTCCTGTCAGACTCACATGGAAGCAGTTTCTATATATATAAGAGGAGCGCAGTTAGTGGCACATGTGCTGTGCTGAGGAAATGTGGGGAGATAGTATAGAGGAGAGAAAAGGAAAAGATGAGAGAAACTGTGGCTTTGGAGAAAGTGAAAATAAAGTCAGGTATCACTAATAAGTAGTTGAAACCTCTCTCCTGTACAGGAGCACGCTGTTTCCAGCCTCTGCTGTTTGATGGCAGCCAATAAGATCCCAGCAGGTATTTCTATAAGTTACAACCAGAGGCAGGAAATCGTTTGCACGGGATGGAAACAGGCGGATGGGAGGCAGTTAAAGTTTACTGTGAGCATGTGGGTGTGTGTTAATATAGTCTGGAGGGGGAATTAACACATCACACAGGTTTTAACTATAGATTGTGTGGTAACATTTGGTGTAACATTTGGAGATCTTAAGAAAGCAAGGAATTTTATTTCGAGCCATTTGCTTTCACTCTCGCTGATGGGTCCGCCTCGCTCTGTTTCACACTGATTTACATCTGCTCTAAAACCAGTCGGGCCAATCACAACCATTCATCTAAAATGAGGTGTGTCTGACACGAGGAATAACAACAGAGAGCCACTGAAGCATTTCGCTGAAGAAAAAGAACAAAACAGCTCTGGCTCACTGTAGTTTGTTGTCTTTTTTTGTTTACCCTGCGTTTCGTCACATGTTTTTATTCTGGCATTAGATGGATTGTCCTGGTAGCACTGGCTCATCTCAACACAGCAACTCAAACTTGTGAAAACCATGTGTTCATAATAAATTACACATTTGTACAACAATTGTATGATTATAAATCATCATGTTGCAGTGTTGTATAATCTGTTTCCCACTGAGGACGACACTGCAGCTTCCCCTCGATAACGCACCATCCCACATCGCGAAGTTTACAGCGTTGTCAAGAGAAAATATCTGGAACTTATTTAACTCGTCCTTACAGTTTCATGCTCACTTAATAATACAACACAAGAACACAGCACAGCTTAGTTCACTCCACAGTAATCAGAGCTCAGGACGTCAGATGATGTGGTGAGTGCTCTTCCTACGGTTCATTTAGAAGGAAGCTGTCATTAAATCAGGTTCACAGCTTTTCATTTTCTCTTTCCTCTTTGTCATTGTCTCTTCATCCATGTCTTCAAACACACAATCACACACATAGAAGTAAACACACACACTCACACACACACACACACACACACACACA